AATAGGGACTAAACGCAGAGGAATATGAATCTAATAAGGACTAAATGCAGAATAATATGAATCTGAGGTATACAGTTGTGCTTAACAATGTGTATTTCATGTTGTAGGAACCCAGCTAACGAGTCTGATACTGAAATGGATACAAAGGGTGAGTTTTTGTTAGGGCAAACGTCGAAACAGATTACGTCGTAACGTGCTAAGGAGTGCGAAGTATAGCATGTGAGGTTTGCTCATACCTCCCGCGTTCCCGCCTTGTCCAAGGGTTCGTTGGACCTCTAAATTTATGTCATCTATCACTGATAAATTTTGAAGACTATGTCATGACATCTCCGAAAAATCACTTGAAGTATACCCAAACAAAAACGTCTTATTTACAAAGCTCTGAAACCGAACTGAGGTTATACAATGTTCTAGGAACCTTTAGAAAATCATACAATCGTGCATGATCTTTAGACTATTTTGAATCTTGAATAAATTAGAGAATATTTGGAGAGTTTAAAGCGAGGGCTGCAGGACTTCCAAAGAAGACACAAAGAACATCGTATAATCGTGGTGCTCTACAGAACAGAAAGTATTCAAGAACATTCATGAATACGTAAGCCCACAAAATTCAAGAGTTCAAGCACACACACCCAACCACATTTTGCGTGACCACCCGCGCAAGTTGATTAGGCCTACAGCTGTGATACTATTTCCACGTGAGCACATTAGTGAAACTGTCTTCTCAATGCATTTTCATTAAGTAAAAGCAGGCTTCCCACCGATGCTTTACCACTTTTTACACATCCTTCCCAATGGCCATTACAAGCACATCTGGATAAGACAGTCCCTTCGGGGAACGAGCGCGATAAAGGGTTTTACCTCAGTGCTGTTGACAAGCAAATCATTCGCAAAATTACCTTCTCAAATACAGAGTGAGCAACGTGATCATTTCGAGCTTTGTCGGTGTTCAGTTTCTCACAGACCACCCCTGCCAGATCCACCGGCCCTGGGCAGTCAGGAATATTCATATACGTACGGGAAGACACCAGGGGGGCAAACCGAGCCCGGCACTGGGGCAGCCAATCCAATCGAGGAAGACGACGACGAATATCATTACTACTCCAGACTAAATAACGAAGGTGAAGGAGAGAGCTTGCGCTATGTGGAAGGCGGACCAAGGGCTGGGAAACCGTCCAATACGGAGTCTCCTAACAACCATAATTATTCTGTTTTGGAAAGATCTGACGATGATGGGGAAAAGATTGCGGAAGACATCGGCAATGACGAAGCCCATTCGTCCCCAGGGGAAGACAATCACAGTTATTTCCCACTGCAGAAACCACCTAACCGCCCCTCTGAGAGCGAGAAGTCTGATGGTTTAGATGACCAGGCACATTTCCCGTTGCAGAATAGGCCCAAGCTCCAGTCCGGGGACGAGAATTCCGGGTACCAGGCTGTGACAATATCTTCCAAAGCAGGCGGCGACAATGAAGAGGCCTCGTCCCCATACGACCACCTTCACCGAGTTGAAGGCAAACAGTCCGCAGACGGCGACCAGTCTGATGAAGGCTTTCCTGATTACCATCATTTGGAGAACTAAAAGTGGGACCTCGGGCCCAATTTGATCATAAAAACAGTTTTATGGAGAGAATTTTTGGCAAGTTTGAACAAGATGGTTCTAGAAAATCAGTGTATGTATCAATGAAAACGTGATGATGCTTTTGATGCCATAACAATCGTACAGTTGTATAATTCATTGTACATGATAACAGTTGTCATGTGTCGATGGCGTCTTATTTCAACAGGTCTTATGTGAAAGATTTTCCCATAAGAAATAATTGAAATGAAACAAGGTGTCATTTTTAATGTCCATAATATTTTTCTTTTCAAGAGAAAAACAGTATGCGTCAACCTAAAAGAGCAGGGGCGGAATCTGCCCCCATTTTTCGGATATCGCCGCAGTGCATAGTTTCAGGAGTTGAACACTGAGGAGTTTTAGGGTAACTCTTTCCGGTAATTTTATAAATATGGACATTTCGTATACATAACAACTTCTTCGGTATCAAATGTTTCTAAAATGTATAGTAATTATATACGTCTTGAGTTATGCTTTGTGGTTAAGAGCCATTTATTCTGTAAACTTACTTAACGAATATTGTATTAATGGGGCTTCCTTTGGCACATAGTTTTGCGCGGAATATACACAGACAACACAGTAATATTGCTATTAGTCATTATAGTTATATGAAATGGACAGGTGAATATTGCATACATATCCAAAATTAATGTAGCCTATACTGTCTTCATACATTTTATTGGATGACCCTTTTATGTAATTGACTTGTAATAATTTTGTTTTTAGCATATGTCAAAATGTATGTACGAGAAAATTTTAATGATTGCTTTAGGTTAAATGATTATTATTTTCAGCGAATCACCAAAATTTTCAAAATTGTTTTTATCTTTGTAGTCTCTTTATAAAACAATTCAAGCGACCCAAATTTAGTGGTTTTTGCTACAAATGTACTCCTTCAGTACTTTGCCACGTTTAACAAATCTGCTTTGGACTTGACACGCAGTTTTTTTCACACTTTCAGGGAAACATCGCTTACCGTACACTGCAGAAACTTTGTTAAGCCAGTAAGACAGCTTTTTAAAACATTTTTTATCAGCTTGACATGTAAACATATTTAAATGCTAAGCACGTTTAGATTTTTAATGGACTATATTTAGTCACTGAACATTAATGTTTAGGACTTGAACACGAAATGTTTAGCATCCAAACATGTTGGCAAAGTGATGGCAAAATTGTGTTTAAAAGCTAAACACACTTTTTAGAGTGTACGATGGATTTGGTACTAAACAAAGCACTCCAAGGTCCACTTTAAACAAAAATCATCGCTAAACATAATCAGGTGGAAAAAGTACTAATGGATTAATGGTACATGTATATATCAAGGTTTGCTATCATAAATAGATAACACCTACCCGATACCAACACCTTCAAAGATTTCAAAGAGACTGGACGGCAAACACTCAACATAATTGTTGCTGAAAATAGGAAGCCGCGCCAATAATACACCAATATGTATTGTCTGAGTTTGGAGTTTCAGTATCACAGCATTCAGCTTACTATAAAAAATCTTACTACTTGTGTTATAGAACTAAGAGGAAGAGACACATCACGGATCTGGTTTTAAATCACCCGTAATTTTACCGAGGGAAGGGAGTGTGAAACTGTGACCATAAGCGTAAACATCAATGGAAGGTTTGGTTTCCTGGATCAGCCCTATATGGAGCCATGTATTAAGGCCCTTCATTCCGCATATGCTTGACTAATAGTACTGTTTGTGAACAATCCAATGTATAGCTGAAAATATGTTATATCACGAACATACCCAGAATTCTTGGACAATTTCTCTCCGTTTAATCCATGAATGAAAAAAAGCTGTTAAGGAAGTGCAAGCACTGAAAATAAAAAAAGGTTTATTTTGGGAAAGGGGAAATAAAGCCATTACATCCTGTGCTAACCTCACGTTTTGACAGTCAAGGAACTGCCATTACTACAACTTGGAAAAAGTTTCATCATTGTTATTTAAAGCATGACACTAGTCCAAAGACACAAAGCCAAACATTTCAACAAAAGGTCGAAGGATCCGTAAGATGGGTCACGGGCCTCGTGCCGACACCGAGCCGCAAACGATCGAAGCCGATTTACGGAAACTGCGCCCTCAACAGTCACCTCAGCAAGGAATTTGACCCGTGATGTGACCTCTCTTTCATGTGTACATGTACGTTGCACTGCACTAATTCAAGCCTCATTGAAAATAGTGTAAAATCAACAAAGTTAAAAGCCCGTTGGGGGCAACCAAAGTCCCTGAGGCCTCTCCCCCAAAAAAGTCTTGTCGAGCCCCTAATTATTTCCATATTTTAGTAACCACTTTGAGTTTTAATTACCCTTGTCGGTCCTTCACATTTCAATTATTTTCAAATTTTAGTAGGTTATTACTAATTCGAGTTTTAATTATCCACCCAAAAAAGCCTCACTCCCCTGAAGTGAATGTTCCCAAGTCTGCCAGCAGCCATTTTTCAAATGATATCCCTCAACCTTCTCAGGCTCTTCAGGCAATTATTCACACACATAAATGAGAGGAACGTGCGGCTGGGACAAAGTTACATGGGTCAACTTTACTTGAGGCAGGGTTAGTTTACGTAGTACTGCTTACTCAGTGTGTGCTGTAACGTGGGACGAAATAAAACCAAACAATGCTGAATGGACGTCGTCTGTCCTTGTGTTGGCCTTCACTTTAGGATTTGCACTACAGCGTAACAAAAGGTATCACAAATCAACATCTAAAATTATACTGACTCGACTAGGGGTTCGTCCCGGTATTATACTGGTTTTCACCAAGAAAGTACTGCGCTTGCAGCTTTGAATTGTGAACGTTTCTCTCTAAGGGGAGAAAATAAAGCTGACTGTACATGCATGAATGCCGCAAGACGCTCAGTTAAAATTAGTTTATGGCTATCATTATACCCACTCAAGCATGAAATTATAAGTACTCAGGAGTTCTTTTGTCAACTGCTTGTCAAAATCAGTTGCAGTGTGCAGAGTCGTAATGTACATTGACAGAACCGTGGAGTTAGTTGTAGTCGCGGGGACGAGGCTGACTGGTACGAAATCAAATTAACCCGGAAGTTCAGAAGTAAAAAACCACTGGATTATTGATATAGCGATAACAAATGCTGGCAAAACCTATACGTACAGACACGGTAAACTGACACGAGACGGGTAATCATGGAAAGGCTACTCTCTATCACTTTGCACGTTGCGATTATCACAGGTGAAATCATCTTTATTGCCGCGGGAATTCTTTTTACGGAATGCCAGGGAGTGATGGACACTTCTTTGGACACAAACTGTTCCAAGTCCAACAGGTAATTTGAAGTTTGTTCTCAGTTCCTGGACTCTTTTTTCCCAAATCCAAAATCAGAAACAGTTGCAGATCTAAATTGAATAGAAGAGCTAGCCCTTCTTTTTCAGTCTCGATTTCCAAATGCAGTAAAAGATTTGAGCCACATAATACATGTTAGTTTCTTTCGTCTTTCAATCTTTGCTCTAATCTTGCGCGATAATGGCTCCAACAAAGTACATTTCTTCTGGAATCCAACTTGACAGTGATTTTCACCAGGCCACCAAGCGCAATATCAATCTTACATGGTTTAATTGATCTTATTTAAAACTGGTAGAAGGGTATTTTTTCTAAGACGTTCGAGGAAGCTCTAACACTGATCGCATGGTTGGCAACTGACACACCATCTTCGTCGTCACAATAATGAGTAAAGCCTGTTTTGAACGCTCTCAATTCCTTGTTTCAAACAAAGTTGCAGTCTGTCGATAACAGTGATATACGTATTTAACTAAAGTGTGACCATGATAGAAACATGGTGTAAAATGCTGTCAACGGGCAACGTTAGGCCTACATTGTGTCCAATTGCGGAAGGGGGGGGGGCTTACGGCAAAAAATCCACGACTTTCTGTACCATCAATGTTCCCCTAAACAAAGCCTACGTTTAAAACACCTAGCGAGAAAGACCACCAAGACTACATAGAGACATTTCAAATTGATGTCCCTTTCCTCAAAACTTAGCCCCGCCCCTGATAGCAACAAAAGATAACACCCAACTTACGTGTGTTAAGTAATAAATGGCAATTTTGTTCACGAGACAAAGGGAAGAAGTACACGTGAAAGAGGCGATTAATACTGCATCATATAGGCATGTATTGCATACCAGCTAGAGGTAAGAACAGTGTTTCTGGTCACGATTTCATAATGCATGGTGTATAAATATGCACTTCACATGATAAATGTTGCATATTGATTAGAAAACTGGCTTCTCTCACCCCTTTAGTGTGAGTATAAACAATGTGTAAATTTTATGAAAGTTATGTTGAAATTACAGATTAGAAGGACCACTAGTTAACTGGTGGTCAGTTTGTGACGTACCTGGCGCATGTGCAGTGAAGTTGAGGTGCGAACGACCCTAGAGTCAACCATTATCAGGTCGTTTGGTTAAAGGGGAGAAAAGGTGGCAGCAGGAAGGGCAATATGAAAAGAAAAAGAGAAAATGGTCGTTTTTTAGTGACCTAGGGATCCAACATGTGACAAAAAATGTCGAAACTCTACAAAAAAGAAGGCACCTTTGGGGCGAACTGTAATTCGCTGGTTCCCAAACGACTATAAAATGCAGGCGTTAGCTACCAAGAAAATGAACACTCCTTGCCTCTGCTCACATCGGTTGGTTACAATATCACATCCCAACTGTCTCACAGTTTGCGTTCACTCTGTTTCAGTTGCACAGATAACTCGACAACAGACAGCACCACCCTGATACTGATCATCTGCTTGTCTGTTGTCGTCGTTACGGTCACTGTGGTCGTTTGCTGCTGTCTGCGACGGAAAGGAGTAGGCCTACTTAAAACATGTAGCCAGAAAGCTGAACAGTAAGTACTGCTATTCCAAAAAATTTATGTTTTATCTTTCTTATCATTACGAACCCCGAGCTGGATTATAAGATGGGGAAAAACCAAAAACCAACAGAGGCTCCTTCATTGGGAAATGTACTTCGCTGGTTCACAAAAGACGATGAGATGACAACAAAACGAATACTCCCCATCGAAAACATGGCACTTTTAAGACATGATGGGTGGTTCTGCTCAAGGTGGATAGACCAATGAAATTCCAGTGTAATCGCAGGGATGTATTTCATAGTAACTGAAGGGCAACGGGTTCTGTACGGAATTAGGAAACCCAATGATTAGCAAGTCCACAAACAAGGGCGTCACCGGGATTTTTTTACAGGGTTGGTTCAAACCCCTTCCCCTCGGGGAAGTAACCTTCAGTTAAAATTGACAAACAACTAATGACCAGAGAAAGTCACTTTTGAGGCATTTTAAGTGAATTGGTGATTTTCATTCCCTTTCATCTCTTGTAGTTATTTTCTCAGCTTTCCTCCTTTTCAATTTTCATTTTCCATTTTTTCCGGGTCGGGGGGAAGGGAAAGCACCCCCGTGACCCCCACCTGCTATGCCCATTCCCACAAATTGCAACACCGCAACAGACGTAAGAACTCCGTCTGCTCGCACTGCTGAAGTCGTTTGGTTTTTTAGAACACGAAATCTTTGTTTTTCTTTACCGTTAAACCGGCACGGCTGCGACACTGTATGGTTGACTCACTGTCTAGGGGCTTTATGTCACACGCCTGAAGAAGGCATTTAAGAGCTTTATGACTATCAAATTATTACCTTTGAAATAAAGGTTTCTTACGAGGTAAAACTAGTCTCGATCCAAGACGTAACTACTTGACATTGGTCGCCAGTGCAAATAGTACCAGTATTAGACAAATTGATCAATACAGGCGCAATTTACAAGTCAGGAATCGAAGGATTCGGTACTTATAGAGAAACGTAAACCACTGCATAATCGAATACAGTATGGAATCAATTAAATTTAATGTTCGAAATGAATGTAGAGGAACAAAAACAAGCTAACAAACACCCCAACAAACAATAAAGGGCTAAAGTAAAAACACGATTGATTAACAACCAACGTTACGAGTATTAATGAAATCTTCATTATTTGTTCTCTCCCATTTAAGAACCGCTGACCCTGAACAACAAGACGATGATTTTCGAGATATATCTGCAACAGGTAAATAATATTCACCATTCATTATAAAAGTCATAATTTCTTCAATCCAGCACATGTGGGGAACTTGCCACCTAAAAAGCGGGAGAAGTTATTTCGAACTTGATAGTTTTAAGAAACAATATCTTCCAACATTCAATCCACTAGCCAATGGGCTACCTCCACCCGGGTGCTACTCAATTCAAATCGGCCACCTGCCCCCCCCAAATACCGGTAGTTGAAAAGCCCTACTCCAGTCAGCGTACTTCATTCACTTACGAGATGCAACGATTGCCTATACAGATTATTTTGGATGTATACAATTAACTTTTCCTTTTTCACAGTCTCTGATGACGTTACGAACTTGGAAGTCCATCAACAAGCAGTATCCGATGATGAAGATGATGATAACATGGAGTACATATACGCCGACGACAAGCAGGTGCGGACATTAGTGGATTGGAAAAGGGCTCAACCACACACGTACTCGAACGTGAACCAAGATGGGAGGAACGGGGTTAACGCCCATGGCGTCAGGACAGCCAAGAAGAAGCCAGACGATGAGAAAACCAAAACAGCAACAGACAGACGGAGTGACTCTGAAGATGATGACTCGCAAGAATATGTCAACCCAGATCTGGAGTACGCACCTCCGTCCAGCGGTCACAAAAACATCCTGGATAACAGAAAAGCTGACGAACGAGAGACTATCATTGAACACGAATACTTTGACCCCAAACGGTCACACTCGTCTATGTCTAGAGACGTAGAAAATACTCTAGGTGATGATACAGAACCCCCAAGTTGTGATAACCTTGATTATGATTACGCTTACTGTCATCAGGTACTAGGCAGTCTCGAACTGCGAAGACCCGGTACCCACCCTACATCGCCAAGAGATCTTGAAAACACTTTGGCTAGCACGGGTAGTAAGGAACAGAAAGTCGCTAGTGACCTAAAATACTTAAGTAAACAAAATTCTCCTGACATGTCTGGCCTTGACGAAAAACCGTTGGTGTCCCGCCGCAATAGATCCTATGAAAACATACACCAGGCTTTCAAAATCAGTGACCCTCCGCTCCTGAAAACTGCTCTTGCCCAGACTGAGAGTGACGAAGATGACGAGAACGAGTATATCGGCCCATCACCCCCGCCTCGTAACTTCAATTACGATTATGCATACGGACACCAGCTTCGGGGACCAGGAAGTGCTAAACCTGGTGAACCCTACTCCAGATCACCCGCTGATCCGACTATGCCAAAAAGTCCCCGACCCATGGATAAACCACGAGTGTTTCCCCGTGCCAAACAGGGACAAAATATTGAGAATTCACGCTTCGAAATCGGGCCTCGAGCGAGGTCTGAACCCCAACGAGACCAGAGATGCGTGTACGAAGTTGTAGCCTTGGAGATGTAGCTAGGCCTAATGCCTCCCTTGACATTCACACAAAAATGTTATAATCAGTTACAATATACATTATAATCAAACAGATGATCATGGGTATGGTCCTAGCAATGCATTCATGGCACTCATCATAACCTATTATTTAACCCGACATTTATTCGTTATCAACTGCATCCCGGCAGACCTGACAATTTATCTGCGGCCTGAGAAGATTCAACATAGTGACACAATACGCTACCATACTCAAATTTTCATTATAGCCCCCCCCCACATTTTGCGATTTCCCACTCAGCCCTTAAAATTCCTTGTTGGCTTTTGGAGTCAATGCCACATGCAGACATTGACATATAGCCCTATGACACGTAATCTGAAATGGTGATGAGATAATTAAACAATAAGGGGCAACTATTACTTGAAAAGCCACCCCAGAAATGGCTGAACATGTTCAATACATTAAAATTTGTAAATTTTTAATTGGAAAAATATTATTTACGTATATGTAAAACTGTTACACTGTGAAAGATTTCACATTAAATTCGGGATGTCGTGACAAGTCCCAGTAAGGTTTTATTCTCTCTGTTTCAATAATTTCATGTTGTTACTTTATTTGAATGTTTAGAAGCTTGTTTTATGTCAAACGAAGACAGGGATCCGCCTTCTATGACGTGTTCTTCACAGGCATCGCACACAATACCGCCACGCTTTGTGGGTATGGGCACTGTCTGTCTAGCGTGGGTACTTGGACTTTATCGGAGTTAACACCTTGAACCCTGTGCGACACATTCGACTCAACTCGACCGAATCACACAAAGGCGAGCCGTCTTTGCTGAATCGAGAACAAGCTGAAATGGAATTCAGTTCACTTTATTTTTCATCAGTGACCCCAATATGTTCAGAAAGTAGTGAGAACGCTGCGTGTGTGTGATGCGCTGTGCCGTCTACATTATACGCGTGGCTGGTTCAGACGATGACGGTGATGTTTCAATAGACTCAACTCCCATCAAGCTGGACGGCGGGCAATATGGCCAGGTTTTCCCTGTATCGTGACAAGTTTGAAAACATGAAGGGGACATATCTGTCTATCGCTTTCCTGGTTGTTATGCTTAGACTTACGGTTCTTCAAGTTCTGCTGACTGTCGGAATGTTTTCCACAGAATGTCGGGCGAATGATGAAAAGCAAAAACTCCCATCAGAGCTTGTGAACTTATCCACAATGATACGTCATCAATTATGCACAAGGCAAAACAGGTACGTAGCAATTCGACACTTAAGCATTTTGTCTCTCTTAAGCCCCCAGGAATGATTATCCAAACCAATTTTCCAAGCGTCGGCGTTGCTGATCAATATCACTTTCTGCATCAGAAAACACAGCTCAGCTGGGCATTTTTTACTGGAAGTGCTGCAGTTTTGCATCTCTTGACCACACAAAAATGAATTCTAATGTACCCAAGCCTTTTAAATATATTTCAACACCAGGTTTCATGTACTGCATTTTACAATAATCCCAGAGCCGAAATTTTGGAAATCACTTGAACACTAACCACAAAGCAGTTCGACTACGAAATGTTTGGTCCTTTTTGTTGAGGAGATGCGCGATAAGGTAAAATTGTAGTTTCCTCCCCCAGTAGTGAACGTTTTACCATTTTTCTTTACCATATCAAGTTTTCTAAAAAATATTCCCCAAAATCACCCGGTAAAATATTTTGGAAACTAAATAAACTGAACCTGCCGTGAATGTATTCGCCCACAGCGTGTTTTCTGAGAGACAGTTCCGAATCACCGATGCACGCCGCTCAGTGCGCAGTCTGTAGCCATGCCGCACATGACGCGCTGAGCCCGCTGTGAAATTCTGATTTATCCCTCTCCCTGGCCCCGTAATATAACTTATTATTTTTTTCATCAAATAGCTCATTAAAACTTGAAAAGGGTCCCCCTATGTTTGTGATAAACCTAAAAAATGTGTAAACTTAAAACTGCCTGTTTTTAATATTTCGGAGTACAGTGTTAAAAATGCAAGCAAAAACCAAAATTTTTGATTTTACGTATTTTTTAAAAATACGCTTGGAAGTCGCAAGAACGATGTCCCGAAAGTGATTGCTTATTTTATTAAAAATATTATATTTTTAGGTTGTGTTTACCATCTTTTGTCCTTATCTTGTCTCTGCATTATGAGCTGTTTAAATTTGTATTGGATTTTTTAAAAACTCCTCACGTATTTTGGAAAAATATTTTAGCAAACTTGATTCTAATGCTAATTTTATGACGGAATTTTAAATAGCAGATCAACTTCAGTTCAGCCTTTGGCTACGAGTCATAATTAAAAAAACAAACGAATCGACATGAATTTGAATTTGGTTTCACAAGGACATTCGACTTTTACATGGAAAAAGTACTAACGGTGACCAGTCGAACGGTTTCGATACATGCAGTTGCCCTGATGAAGAAGGCATGGACTTGTGTGCGCATCTTTGCAACCCTTTTCATTGCTTCACTGACATTCCAGATGGTGAGTTGAGTTCATATCGGTTGTATAATGTGTCGCAACACGTGTTTGAAGACTTCTGTAAGTATCTTACCTCGAAATTAGACGTTTTCACTGCAAAAGGGGCTAAACCTCAGCAACCACCATCATCTTCTCAAGGTGGAATATACTGTGGCCTCAAAAACAGATTGGAATTAACTATGGGGCTAAACATCCTATCGATGGGTTGGCTGACTTGTTTGTGGGTTGTATCTCGTTGTAAAAGTTAATAACAGAGCTAAAAAGAGGGCTACCCACTCTGCTCACACACCCCAAACTACGTCAAGACATCTATACATTCAGGCCAGCAGTCATTTGAGGTACATTGTACGTGTGCAATCAACTTCAAGCTGAACATAGTCGTTATTTTCTTCGGTATCTGCGCCTACGGGTCCTGTCGCTGTGTGTTAAATCCCTGTGACGGAAAGTCAGGTGAAGTGTCACGGTTGATGAAATCTCCTTTCTGTTTTGCTCCTTTTTTATCCCTTAATGTAGAGGACCCATGTATGACTTTCAAACAGACGTTTGTCTGCGGCTATGACGATGCTGTGGTGTGTTCAGATGAGTTTGGAACGTGTATTCACGAGAGCTCTAAGTCTCTTTGTGCCTGTAAAATTCCATCGGGTTGGTCGCGTAAACTTGACAGTAGGTGAGTAATCCGATACTTCCCTTCTCCTGTCCCGACGATCGATCCGGGAAATAGAAGCTTCTCAAGGAGGGACGCAAACATAAAAACTCACAGATAGAGTTTTTGACCACTAAAATAAAAATTCGTCAGTAAAGAATCAAAACATTCTGCTCATCGATGCCATTTCTCTTCTGCACTCTGTCCATGTGGTTTTTTGAATCAAACAATTTGAATGAGCTTTCTGTTCTGCATGAAATAAGTCGGTTCCCTTCTTCCGCAAAAACGTGCCCGCGAGACGCTTTGTCAACGTTTACTGAATCTCCCAACAGTACCTTTACCCGAAGACACTTTATGTGCATAGCGACTGAGTGACTCGACAGACAGGGATAACCCATGCATAGTGGGGTTAACAGCAATTTCATTGCAGCTCCCTCGCGCTTGTTTCTCTGTGGTCTTCAATCCTGTCTATTTCCTGCCTCGTCCAGTCGATATTGTATGTCTCTGTTGCTTCATTCCAGCTGCAAAGATGATTCTCTTGCTCCAGGACTCGGCGTCGCCTCTCTGACAGCTGCATGTATTCTTGCCGTGATCTTGCTGATCCTTGTGGTCACCGTGAGCTGCTGTTTGTGGAAGCGTGGCTTGCCTTGTTCACGCTCTAACAAGAGGTAACTGATATTTCACCCCGTGCCTGAGTTTATCGCAGTACCCGAATAGTGACTGCATAATTGTTTGGGCTGGTCCAAGTAAGCACGACTGCGCAAATGGTTGTTGGCAACGCAAGATACTTTGCCGCAATGCATTCTGCCAGCCGAGAAGTTGAAATGGAGGCTGTACACCTACTGTTGCGTGTACTATATGTTTTTAAGGTTGACTATACTTCCAAGATATATAGAAAAAGAAAATCTTCACAAATTTGTGGTTTGTTGATCTTACATAATCAAAGCAGTACATTTTATTGTGCGTTATTTTTCCCCGTGTCGCGCATGTTATCTCGCTTCGTCGTGATTGCATGAGTATAAGTAAAGTGGAAAGTTCGAAATAAAATATACCCTAACGGTGTTCTATTGTGTGATTTATGCCCGTTCGTTTCAACTGGTGAATTGACATTGTAGCGACGGATTTTTTATCTGTTTGGTGATTACACCTATTTCGTTATTGTCTCTTACTGCATATCTGGCTTCACAGAAACAGCATTGCATCCGTTAACTAGATTCAAAGCAATGAGTCTAAGATTATGCAAAAAATCAAATGCTTCATTTAAAAAATTTTCCGCCAGATCTGCTCGACGGGAGTCTGAGGAAATGGTCTCAAAAGGTAAGTCAAACCGTTCAACAATGAACCTGACTTAATGGAAAGTATGAACAGGAAAATACTAAAGTACCGTCGCGTTATTTGCATGTGGCAATTTTTTTTCCAGTGGTTAAAATAATTCGCAGCAATTAAAATAAAAGTTTGATAGGAAGTTCTGATCGACTTTGTTTGCCGTGTTCGACGAAACTGTGTGAAAAAACTTCAACATTAAGATATTCGCGAACAAAGTTACAACATAGAGAAATTTCACATTGTGGGAGACCACTCTCATTCGCGTATTTGTACATACAACCATAATTCTCCAGAAAAATCACAATTTGGATTGTTTTATTTTACCTCAAATTCGTTTAGAATGTACGTTTGTCCAACCAATGTTACTAAGGTCGTTTTTCATTTGTGACTAGTAGAACGTATATTATTATTTGGAGATTTGATAGCTGCTTTGGATTTTTGACACTTGTCTTAATTTTGTACCGACGGCCAGCCATAGTTTCCGCAGCCAATTATAGGAAAAACACAACCGAGGTGCAAAATGAGACCTTATACAGGACTGGCATATTCACTGAGTTCGATGATTGTAAATGTTTTGCTTCCACCCTGAAGGAATCAATGCAGATGAACAAGCTCCGGATCAACCGGTGCCCGACCAGGCCGAGTACTCGTACGCCTATGGGCATCGGTCGTGGGCACCAGCTGATCACCCTCGGGTTGGCATAAAACCTGACCTGGACGAGCTGCAGGATGACCACTACTACTCGCGACTGAAACTCACCGACAGTACGAAAAGCACCCCTGGCCAGGAGAATGCTCAGTCGAGTACCTGTCCAGTATCTGGAAAAGAAGACCATCTGAAGTATTCTGGGGATGGGGGGACCTATGAGGGCCCAGCCAATGGAGGGGTCAAGGCAGGTTACGTCAACGCCCAATCAGAGGAAGGGGCTCAAAACCAGAGCTCGGGTTATGAGGTTGCTCAAGTTCAACGTCCAAGTGACTTTGCACTGGGTCAATCCAATCTGATATCTCCCAGCACAGACGAACGGATGAATCGAGATTCTGGGTACGAGATTGCAACGGTGAAACCGGTCCTGGGCGCCGGCGACAAACACCACAGTTATGTTACTCTTGAGCCACCCACGGAAATTCTGTCTCAAAGCAAAGTGTCTGGCTACGAGGAAGTCACACAAGTTTGGGTCATTCTTGAAGAGTTGTCAGATTATGATCACCTCCAGCGACCTGGTTCCCATATACAGATAGATGGCACAAATTAGGCAGCAATGTTGCTAGCAAATACTGACCATTATCTCGCCCACCAATCGCCAAGCACAATTGGCCTCAGTCATAAATCGGCCATACTGAATTGAAAGCAAGGTGAAGTTGTTTCATTTAGGAACATGGGAATGAAAATGAAAGCACTGAAATATAACTTGATGCATTTACGCTGACGAATTTAAAAATTGTAATTAGTTGTACTAAAATGTTTTGAGCAACTTTTATGAAAGAAAATGAAAGCGAGGCATAGAACCTAAAATAGTCTGGCACCACTCCATTTAACAGATGCAGATTGCATAAAGTAATACAGATTTTAGTAACACAACGAAAATTGGCTTCCCTTGATAAGGTCAATATTCATAAGTCAAATATGTAGGAAATGTTACTTAAATAACTGTATTTTTTTTTACTTCGAAATCGCCCATACGAAATGGCCGGTAACACTCATGATACGAAAACCCACCGTGACTAAGATTTTGAGTCTCTCGATCACTGTACGGTACAGACTTCCAACCTGCAGTCTTGACGCGATATCCAGTCAGTTTATAAAATCAGTACGGAGGCGTATAAGGGCCACATACAAATGAATGCGAGTTACTATCTCCCCGTGGAGAGTTGTCGAGTTTGCAACTCGAAAAGCATACTATTTGCAAGTGGCCCTTGTACGCCTCTTTAGATCAGTGATACCCGACAACAAAGATTCAAGACTGATATTTTTGACATTATTCGCATGTAAACAATCGCTTTGGTAACATCCAATCTACGGTAGCGTAACACAACAGAATGTCGTGACATGGTGTCATGACATGCTGTTTGAATTGACGTCCCACACAACTGAAATGTGTTAGAAGTCGTGGGTATGTAAATTAATATACTTCCCCAAAAGATCACTTTGAATGTGTATTTTACCTTCACAATATGTTTCAGTACTACGGAGCTCCTGTGGGCAGATATACAGGATCTTAGAATTTTAACCAAGTTCCTGCTTGTGCACATTTTTTTTCTCAAAAATGGAAATTTAATTGAGGGTTTGGCTTTCTTGCATTTACAAACTGTTCTTGTTGTCGTCATATGAAATTTGGACGTATACAAGTCTGTTTCCTTTACCCGCTGAACTCTCAGCCTCACACATTGCCGGTGCTCCCATGGGTTTGCAAGCAGAGTGTTCGATACGGCATAGGCCAGTTTTTCACTGAGTCCGAATTTTGCAATACACCAGCAAGCATAGCGATGGAAATGAATCATGTATGGAATCTTTCTGCAACTCAGTTTAGAAATCAATCCATATACACGTATGTAACAAAGGTAATTTGTGTGTGTATTTTTGAAATTTCAGTATAATTTCATTAACTTTTAGTCTGCAAATTTAAGTATTTTTTAAAAAAGTTATACATAAGTACATACACAGATTTTACGTCGTACTGCAAATTAATACGCAAATTAATATTCACGTCAAAAACTTTAGCTGTATTAAATACTAGAATGTTTCCTATACCGACAACGAACCTTCTTGTATGTGGCATGATTTACTGTAGTAGTTAATGCTGCCTTTCACTTTTAATCAATCTATTTGATATTCTTGTTCCATAATTGTTGGCTTCTTGTTCGTGAATAATTTCTTTGTATGTCTTTAACCTTTTGTTTGAATCTACAACCATATCTTGATTCATGTGAAGTCAATTCACGACGTGATTGTTTCTAAATAAACTTAAAGTTAACAAAACGTTTGCAAAACAAACGTAGTTATCGTTATCATATGAAAAGAAAAAAAAAGAAAAATGTTTTGATTTCTGTTTTCCCACTAACTTGTTTACATGCTTTTTCATTGTTATTGTAAAGTAACGCTTAATTAAACATCCACAAAGAGCTGCATTGAGATTCACCGTTGAAATAATTTTTTTCTCAAGAAATCAGCTTTAAAATTATAGGCAAATAGGAGCCAGAAAGTTCATGAAATCACACGAACGAATTTGAATTCATACAAATGGTAACAGTTTACCTATTGATTGAATCGAACACTAGCAACGAAATTCTGAGGCCTTAGAAGAATTTGAGTAAACTAAATGACTACCGGTTTTTGACTTTCAATGAACAGCTGTGAAAGAAAGAATGTCCACCAAGGAAATTACATGACATCTTTTGATTTTTGAACATTGAGGAACATCCATTTTCAAACAAATTTAACTGGGCCTCACGTTAATAGAACGACATTTTGCTAATATTTGCCGTTATTATGGGCTCCGAGCTGGGCCAAGAGAGGGCGCAATTTTTCGTAGCAACGAAGGCTCCTTGCCCTTCGCCGATTCACACGAGACTATGAAATGCAAGTGTTACAGTCACATCGCTACCAACAAAATGAACACTCCCGACCAACATGGCTCTTTCCAATTCAACCGACGAGGGAGTGCTTCTGCTCAGGACTGATAGGTCTGCAAGACTGCCGGTGCACGCATGCACAATGTACATTAACGAGCGCATTATATCTCGGTCGTTGCTCCTTCGCTAGTAAGATTTTCTTCAAATATCGAGTCATTATCATCGATCCTAAATATGTTTTTTTACAGCAAATTTCCTATGTCGGATAAGGTGCACAACAGTAGCACATCTACTGTTCGGTTTAGCGATATTCGACATGGCAGTGTTGTTATTGCGATTGTTAAGGTAATAGGAGATCACCAAATAACGGTCGTATAAATAAAAACAAATATACATGTATATCATCCGAACTTCGGCCAAATTTTAAAACTAAGTTCGCAATTGGAAAGCATCCGTCCTGTACAATGTTGAGCCAACTGTGACCGATAAGCTTTGCCCAAAAGGACGTCAGTAATGCTTATCCATGTGAAAATTAGCTCCTAATGCCTAAACACTGACTATGCGGGTAATAGGCGTATTGGTTTTCTGTCAGTAACTCTGTGGTGGTATCGTATTCGGCACATCTAGGAAGCGGCTTACACCAGACCTTGAGTACCATTTCCTGACTGGTATACTCCATAACTTCCTGAGACTGGACAATCGGTAACGCAAGGGATAACGAATGATGGAACAACTGATTGGGCCTGATTTCCACAGTATGATCAGTTTATGGATTGTAGGTCATCAGGAGCAGGGAGGATTACTTCATACTTCAGGCAATCAGATCGTATAAAACCGAACGTCATTCCAACTGTAATGTAACTTCGGTATTTCAAGAATTCACGTGAAAAGCGACTGCAGGGCAAAGCGACCGAAAGAACATGAAACAACGGGAAGACGCGCCCAGGCCTCTGGTCAAGCCCCGCAGCGTGGTGGTAGCCGTCTTGCTGGTGCTAGTAGTTGTTGGAGGAATACCGGGCAGTTGGTGTGCCAGCACTGAAAGACCCCTCCCGCGCGTGTTGTTTTCACGCCTGGATGATATACGAAAGTACTTGTGCGAGAGGTACAGCCACATTAACAAGAAAGTTGTAGGGATCTTTATAAGGCTTAGACTAATTTGGCAAGCAGACTAACTAGTTGTCCGGACAGTGGTGGCACCATACTTGTGTACAGGTGATACAGGCGTTTATACAGACCTCATTGACGAACAAGCGCTGTGACTTATCAAGTTCACGCGCACTTTAATATGAGAACGCGCAAGTGATTATGGCGGCTCCTTGTGTTAGTGCATTAACCATCCTTACTTCTTTCATACAGTCTTGTAGCGATCTACACAGAGGGTTCGACCCCAGTGCAACGGTTTTATTTTGTTCAAATACTTCAGGTGATTATCACTTACCAACACTAAAATCACCATATCAACCAATAATTGCTTATTTCAGCTAGTAACCTATACTTTGACAATGGGTTGGTATCCAGAAACTGACCAAATGTCTAATAATTAGGTGAGTTATCCATAGCACTGAATAAAATTCAGTCTCGGAGCATTCAGCGTGTTTTTCTTTTAAAGAACGTGCGATAGTGGAAATTAATTCTGGACTGTATTATTTGGGGAACAGTCTTTTTTTCTGGAGCAACTGGTCCCGATTTTCGTTCATTTCCAAATTTTTGAGGGGACGCATTTTCGTACATTTCCAGAAGTTCGAAAGTTGGAGGGCAGTGTTACTCCCCCATGATACATGCCGTAATTCAAATCAAGGACTAATGATTCAAAACCAAGCCAACTTGACATAAGGACCGATTGACCAACGTGTTTCTTCTCAATGGTATAATGCCTGATTGTTTTCTCTCCGATTCGATTCAAGGTCGAGCTGTGGGTCGGGGTCCGGACTGTGCCGAGGGGCAGATTGCCCATCTGACACTGATCGAGATTACACATATTGTGAGAAACAGACTTCTGATACTTTCTCCAATGAAGGTAAATGTAATTCGCGACGCATTATGTACAAAAAGTAAAGCATGATTGGAGATAAGGACTTAGGGCTGAGCTGAATATCTGAATAACCAAATATTCGATAGGTTATCGAATATTATTTTTCGAATTGGAATATTCAAATGCGAAATTCAAGAAAAAGAAGTGGAAATTTTCTTTCGTTTTAAATTTAAATGAGAAAAATTGCTCTATGGAGCCTGGTGTCAATCAGATTTAATTGAAAAGAGATAAAAATCTTACGATTCAAGAAGTAAATTAAAAGGAATAGAGATTTCAACAGGGCTTTAAAATAGAAATATTGTTACTAAATCGTGGCTGGAGGTACTCTTTGCTTTGAGAAGCTATTATATTGTACATTTTTGTGCATTATTGCAACATATTTTGTATATGCTTTGTTCATCAATAATCTGCAGGTTGGTACGACCGCATATTCGGTTAATTGATCAAATTGAAGGTCGAATACTCGAATAGTGAGTTATTCGAATCGATCGAGCCCTATAAGGAATCAAAAGTGAAGTGGATATTATATATTTTGATTTGCAAAACTTTATGTAAAATCTCGGTAGAATTTACAAAGGTTTCGGACCCTTTATGTAAAAATCTAAAAAATGCCAAGGTTTCGGCACGTAACCCTCTGCAAACAGCTGTTCAAAACAATATCAAATGTCTGCAGTCTGTACTCTGGCCATCTCATTCAGTCTCAACAGTTAGTGTGATTTAATAGCAGATTATTTGTGCGACGAGGATCAGCAACTGTACTGTACATATGATGACGCCAGTGTCTGTGTTTACGACCCTGGCGACTCCAGCCACTCTAGAAGTTGCTTGTATCGCCGCAACGTACGAGGCGTGATCGTCATATACTGCGTCTGCGAAGGACCTGAAGAACGTATAGGCTACAGGTAAATATACTTGTCCTTATCAGACACAATTTTCGCTGCGTTATTAAGCTTTCTGTCTCGTCATCACCCATCATTAGCTGCTATCTTCCTCTGGTTAATGATATATGTCAATTTCAGAGTTTCAAGAACAATGCGGAAGAACAATGGAAGAAATCACTTCCAGAAAATTAACATTCAGGGCCTAGCTAAGCGGCCAACAATATTATTACACGGTCAAGGAAGAACAATACAGGTCACGATACTGTGTCTAACAAATAACATAGATCTAGCGAACTGTACATTTCCCCTTAGCTGCAGCGAAGATGCACCACCAGCTGTGACGCAGCCCCAGTCGACACACCATCAAACGACACCGCCTCATTCGACGGCAGCCTCAATGATGCCTTCTGGGCAGCTCAATGTGGAGGCAATCGTTATCGGCACTGTCTTGTCGGCAGTCGTGCTCCTCATTTTTCTGGGAATATTTTGGCTGTGTTTGACCGACAGACTGACTTTCCACAGGAGGACTGGGTAAGCATTCAATTTGTTGAATTGTGGGTTTTGGGGGAAAAGATGACATTGATGTCAATTGTGTTCATGTAACGGTGGAACATAGCATGATGATTTCAACTGTACCACATTGAAAAACAAGCTGTCATTCAGTACACCCAGATCAATTAGAAGAAAGGGGATTTCGTTTCCCTGAAGAACCATACACAATCGTTGTTGACGAGGAACGTATAAATCCGTCTCAAAACTGTTTTAAAATCCAAACAATTCAAATAAAAAAGATCAACGTAGTGCACTTTTAAAAGTCTAGAGAGTGTTGACTGGGAAACATTCACACCTAGCTAACCAAGTTGGGTGCAAGCTGAACTGTGGGGGTGGTCTCTACATGTACGTCTATGAGGTTATCAACGACTCCATTACAGATTGTATGCTTTTAAGAAAAGATACAAAGCCTCCTGCTTTAGACCAGTTTTACAATTTTACTACGCTTTGGTAAAAGTTTGGTTTATCTTTGATGCTCTTCCTCAGTAATGCTGCCACTACAGCTGTTCCTTCTTCTCCCGTCGAACCGAATCGAAAAGGTGGGAAAAGAAACAATGGTTAGCCCGATTTCGCTCCTTCTAAAATTGGACCTTTTATCAAATATCAGTAATTTAAAAAGCTTACATTACAACTATCAAAATCTTTTGTTCAGCTACAGTACAAGCTCACAATAACGAGAAGGCTTCATCAAAGGGACCCATTTGGGATCCGATAGTGTGATGTTGTATTGTGAGTTTATACAAAATACTAGTAAAGATTGAAATCGATTAATCTATTATCTTCAGTTTACCAGCTGTTCCATGTTCATTTGTTTAGATGGTAACCAGCCTCTGGAGTTGAAATCACAAGAACGTCGAAGAAACTCATACCAGCAGCATGACCAGGTTGTTAATTCGGACGTCGCGTACTACAAGTCCTTGGAATTAAATCGAGACCATTACTATACCAAAATACACGACGACGGGGGCGCCTTCCGATGGGAACAAAACGACCATGTGCAGAATGGCCCCATTGTTGGGCCCTCAGCTCCGCCCATCGAGGAGCCCGGTAATACAGAGGTCACGGCCGACCATCAGTATTTCGTATTGGAGCGCGATAATGAACACACGGAGGCGGACGACTTTCATGATGATGACCCACAAGGGGTGCCGACCGACCACGACTACTTTGTGTTGGAGAAGGATGACTCTGAAGACAGGAATGCCAATGAAGGTGACTCGAATGCTAAAGAGGGCGCCCCATCACTGACAACCTCCGCGCCAGGGGCTCTTGAGCAAACGTCGCACGATCGGGTCCAAGACATCTCAGTGACGCCTCTTTGAGCCCAGACAATGGATACGATCACATCAAACGAACTGGTCGGCATTTATTACGAGAGGACGCAAATTAACGCACGCAATCAATACAATTCTCGCGATAATTATTTTCAATAATCATGACAATTTTTACCCCAGTAACAGGTAATGCCAATTTCATTCTGTAAAGAAATGTTTAAAACAGCAACCCGATAGTCATATTGTACTAACTCTTAACTGTATGTAAAGTGTCGCTAAATCCATTCAGCGTATGGACTAATTCGGCGACCAGAAATAGAAGCCACTTCTGTGGTGGCATCACGCTCGTGGACAGGTGCGCGCCACAAGTTTATGCCCGCCCACACGCGAGTTGCTTCACCCTTGCTCCTCTTATACAGCCTGATTCGAACACTTATACGATGACAAACTTTCTAGGCAAAGAATCAATTCTAAGTATACTTTTGGTAACGTACAGTTTTTAATGACACAGAAAGGATCATTCAAAGGCAGCATTCTTATGCACAGGTATTATCAAGGCTGTACTCTTCACGATAATGGGCGTCGATTGCCCGTGGGAACGTGGATCGGGAAGGACATGATGGAAACCCTATTCAACAAGTGAGGGTGGGGTGCACGTTCCCATCCCTTTACGATAACCGTGTCAGCAACACGACCCAATAACAATACAAAAATTCCGCACTGTGGAGCAATTAATGCTTTGCAAGCTGCAAAAGGAAACTGCTATTGTGGGCGTTCAAAGGATTTCCCTTTCCCGCCTGGTTCTGAAGGTAAGCGAACCTGTTCCCTTAATTATGCATGTCTTCTACAGTCAGTCTGTATTAATCTCTTCGAACTGATGGTATAGTTCCCATTTTTATGGGCCACAATTACCTGTTACACTATAAACAAATCTGATTGAATCAAATATAGGTCTACAATATTAAATCAAGGCATATACCATAACTGTGTGTGATATGCATGACAGTTGTCTAGTTTTTGGCTTTGAAACGTCTGAAATATTGTCAACGTTATATGAACCCGAGACAATTATACCCAATAAGTGATGCAAATAATCAACACATGCGCTTCCCGGCGTTTACCGGTAGATTCATGGCCGGTCGATGATGTGTAAGTTGCTGAAACTGTTTCTGATGTCCTGTACCCTGAGCAGTCGATAAACAATGCCCTTTGACGTTAATGCATTTAAACCTTGCAACTGGAAATGTTACAGGAAGGAACAGGGTTATTCGTTTCATCAGGTCGTTAGACATCATTTCCGGGTTTGGGTGGCAGTGGCTTGTAGAGGGATTTAGTCTAATTCTGCTATTGTTCATGGCATTTATTTTTTAACAACACTCACGCAATCTGCCCCACTACTCCGTGTAACGATGACTCGACTTATCTGTAAAGGAAGTGCAAAGACGGTAAAGTCCACAAACCTAACAAACATGACAAGGTGATCTGGAGTCAGTTATATCATATCTGAATCTGACCGAAGTGGAATCATTCTCTCAAAATTCTTGAGGATTACGTGCCGTTTGAAAGCTATAGGAACAAGCCTAACGCTGCCCTAGACAAAATTCTGCGGGTTACCAGCATTGGGATTGTGCAAAAGAACCCCGAATGAAGTCCGTGCGTACAAGGCTGGTCGGTTCCGAGTGTGGACGCCGGAGCTTATATGACTGTTCGACTTCGTGATAAACGATGGCGGGACTTCCTAAACTCCGAACCCGCGGGGTGCTTCTCGTGCTGTTTCTTGCGGGAGAATTTTTTTCGACATCTGAAGCCGGCCATGTTTTGTCACCTCACCTGTCGGAGAACATGAGAAGATTTCTTTGTAACAGGTGTGTTGATTGTTAAAATTGCCACACATCTCTTTAATATGCATGTGAGACTGTTATCGACTCCATAGACTCTAGTTGTGCAATGATATCTTTAAATACCTTTCCTATTCCGATGGCATTTTACTGTGAAGATAGTTACTAACTTCAGGACACATTTCAGGTCAAATTCTACCAGTTGCTTGGTTAACCACCCAAAAAGTTTTGATTCGACTACAATTTAACAATACTATCAAAGTATCTCCGACGAAAGTCTCCCGTTTTCATGTGATGATCACTTGGAAATAAGTACCCCATCCATTCCATTACCGACCATTCCATTACATTCAGTGACACCTCGTCCCACTGAGAGAGATTAACCAATGTTTACTGACATTGATCAGGACTGCATACGAGTCAACTACAATTGTAGCCCCACTTCAGAGCTATAAACACCAGTGCCAAAATAACGGTGTCATTTCCCTTTAGAAGATGTAACGGCTCATGTCAACCGTGTAGAATTCCACGATCAACGAGATGTATGTTGTGTCGGCAGATCTGTTGCTCCACCGAGCCTGGTGAAGATGCCGCAGATGGCCAATGCTACCGAGATACTTGCGATGCACACAGTAAGCACTTTGAAGAGTTTCACTAGCCTGTTTTGGTAATTGTTCCAATTTTACCACACGCCTTCGTCGCCATAGTGAAAGAGCCAAGGATTTTCCCTCCCTCGACATCAGGTTTGCGGATTTATGACATACAAACTCCATGAACATGGAACACTTGACTAAATTACAAGTAGAGTCCAAAACAGCAGTTAAAAATCCCGACCTGTAGTCCCAAATGCTGTATAAGACATGAAACACTTTGTAAGAAAAGAGATGAAACGAGGGTTTCTTAAACGTACAACTCCATCCGCCTTGAGCAGAAGCATTCTCGTATCAGTTGAAAAGAGCCAGGTTGGTCGAGAGTGTTCGTATTTGCTGGTAGCGGCGCAATCGTAACGCGTGCATTTCATAGTCGTTTGTGAACCAGTGAAGTGCAGCTCCGACCAAAGGAGTCTCCGTTGCCTGGGAAATTGCTCCCTTTGTTTTGGTCCTATTAGGGGCTCATTATGTACAGCGCTCATGTCTGCTTTTCAACATTGTCTATAATGTACTGTACACCTTACCTTTTGACAACAAATGTCCATTTCCCTACCAACGGCGCCCATCTCCAACTCGAGGGATCGGCCTTTGACCAGACCTTGTCCTCATGGCGTCTAGTAGTCAGCTACCGCGCTGTTCTCTTGCACCGATGTTGGACCATTTGCATAGATATTCCAAAACATTGCATTTCATTACTTGCAGCAGAGTCGACAGCCTTTACAATACCGAAGGTTGGCGTTTGTCTTTGAAAATATTTAGGGTATTAGATTCAAGCCATTGTCAGAGAAGACGGATCGAAGAACAAACGAGTTTCCAAAGCTACAATCTAAATTAAATCATAGGCAACGAGCCTTACTCAATCGAGAAAGCTGGAAAAGAGAGAGGCGTTTTACGGGAAGAACCGGGATGATTTTATTTTGAGTTTAATATGTCACTCCCGAGCAGATTTTCCATGTGAACAAGAGCGTGCGAGATCTGTCATTTCGAAGACGCCAACGTCACAGAGTGCGAGTCCGAGGATGGTGACGACATCTGTTTGTACGACAGCTCCCAGTCAAACAGAATCTACTGCGTCTGCAAGGGTATCCCTGACGCTGTTCCAGGAAAAAAGTAATCAAAAGTGTCCCCTCAGTTCAATTTTCCAAGTCTGTGTCAGCTAGTAGGCGTTTTACCGAGGAAACCGAGAACTTTCCCTCTTCTATTTTCTTAGGTCAAACAAGACATTTTGCTGCAATGTGTTTATACAGGCCGTCAATGCACGAACAATTTGAGGATTCTCTTTTCTTCATGGGACCCATGCAAGTTATGCAATTGTTGTAGGCCAACTGTGTTTGTTGAGAAAAATTCCCAAGACACAATAAATCATCTTTACACTAATGTACACCTGCATGCCTCACAGAAAAGGGGGCACGCTGTAAATGCACCTGTCTTTGTCTATTTGAAGCAAGATATGGACGGAGAACGCCCCACCCTTCTCTTGGTCATTATTTGACCGGAATCTTTGGAATTCTTTTTGACATGGGGGGGGGGCGTGTTAGGTAACAATAGTCTAGGGTGTGTATAAGGATTGGACATGTAGAGGGGGTACCCCTCCGTCCCATATCTTGCTGGGTATAGGGATGTCATTTTTTTCAACAGTTTCAGTCTGGTCGACTGTCTGCTAACAGTAATTGTTTAAGCAATCACGACCAGCAAGTTTTCTTTCCCATGTAGCTATACCCCGTGAGGTCTGAGTCCCTAAGACTAATCAGATTTGAATGATTTTAAAGCTTTATTTAAAGAAAATGGGTTTATTTACAGAACATTATGTCGTCTTTGGCCTAAATATGTGATTTGCATTTATGCATGATTAGCAATCACACTCAGGTGCTTTGTTTCATTTGGCAGTTGCACCGAACAGCGACAAGAACAGGCGACGACAAAGGGCTCCACAACGCAGGTATCAACTTTCACTTCCAACACGCAGTTATCGACTCTTACTCCGACCGTGCCGTCGCCGTCTGCTCAGACCAACATACAGGCAGTGATTCTCGGAAGCATCCTTCCAATAATGCTGCTGCTTACTGTTGGCCTCGTTGTATTTTGCTTCTGCCCGAAAAGTAGACTGATGTGCTGGAGAAGACCCATCACGTAGGCACCCCAAAATTATCCATGTCCGGATGACTAGTCCAAACACTTTTTTCTCATTTTTTTTTCTCACGAGAAATCAATATCTCCGAATTTGAAAATGGCTAGAACAATTTCAGGAACAAGAATACTTGAACGTAACTTTTTAGACTGTGCAATGTTTCAACAGTATTGATACAGATATACAATGTTACAACAAGATTCCTTTCTTGGGCATGGATCTCTATTTCATCAAAACAGCACTCAAAAATAACATTGAAGTGTTACAGAAAAAGCATTCAGACTTCTGAAACTTTTCAGCTACTGTGCATTTCAAGGCTAATATAACACTTTTCAAGAAAACGATGCGAGTCCATACTTCTTTTGACTGAATCTATATGATTTCGTTAGACACTAAGCTGTCTGACTTCAGCGCCCAACTAGTACGTATGCAATCGTGATACAGAAAATGCAAACTCAAATCCGAGTGCAGGACACCAGACTTTAATCGCGGTGTCTGATCTGGTGTGTCAAAAACACCTGCAACAGTGCAGTAATTGTACCGCTCTTTTTCAAAGGCACCCGCTTCTACATGTGCATTATTTCAATATGGTTTCTAAAGCAGTTGAGTGTGTAACCAGAGGCTTTACCAAAGCATTGATAGGTACACTTTCGGATAACGGTAGGCCTCTCCCATGATTTTTTATAATTCTAGGTTTTCCGATATTATTCCTTTACTTTTCTTTCTCCTAAGTGGGAATAACAACAGCGGTGAAAGAAGGCGTAAAGGTGAGCTCAGTTTTGTTTGTTTCTTTAATAGGGCACATGTCGTCGGCTCACTTTACTTGAGTAACGGGCTATAAGGTGACCATTCATCTTTCAAAACGAAAGCCTCTAAAACATTCTCAAATATTATCTTGTTTTAGTATCAGTACACTTTCTTAAATTCTAAACACCGGCACCCCACAAATCCTTTGACACATCGGAGGGAAACTAAGTCAAGCAAAGAAGAAAAAAATGATGTTACGAACAAATTATAGAGCCTAACATTATAATTTTGGTCGAAGAACCAACGGGGTATTAAAAAACGAGCTTCCCAAGTTTGGACGGGTTTTACACAAACTGCACTCCGTTTCTGCATTTCTCCCTGTCGATTTTTATTTCTTTTCCCATCAGATGGAGAAAGAATACATTCGGAACAACAACCTACGGGACCATCGACTGCATCCAACATTGGGCGGTCGGCAGCTACTGACACGTCTAATCCAATATACGAAGTGTCCCTTCCCATGGACCAAACTCAAGGTAAGAAGTTTGCCAGCTTAACAGCTTAACTGGTGACGGTAGCGCCCCCTGTCGGTCTTACGACGACTCGGCCGATGACGGTCAGAAGGTAATGCGTCGGATCCACCACTCAGGGTCCAAGGGAAGAGGGCTCGTGGCGGCCACCAGTATTTTATTTTGGAGTGGGAAAGCCCAACAAGTGGACAACTGTGTCCATACAGAGGCCCGACATGAAAACAACAATGTTGTGCTGGAAAGGTTTCGATTTGTGTCAATGGACTTTCTGATTAAAATTCCAAACACCAGCACCCCGCACAATCTTCGACACAACTGAGGTAAATCAGTCAGGCAAATGACACTAAAAATGATATCACAAACAATGATTAGAGCCGAACACTTATTTTGGTCGCAGAACCAATGGCGTTGTAAAACAAGTTTGTCGGATTGGCGTTGTAGAACGAGTTTGTCAGATTTCAACAAATGTCACAAAACATTACACTACCGCATTCCATTTACAAAGCTTTTCGACCTTTTGATGTCATTTCTTATACCATCAGATAAGAACAGCAAGTATTTGGAGACAGAGTCAAGGACTTCACCGAATACGTCTAACATTAAGCAGCCGGCAACCAATGACACATCTAATCCCATATATGGTGTACCCCTTCCCATGGACGAAATTCAAGGTACGTTTCCTAACTTAATCGGCGGTGGTAGCGCCCCCTGTCGATCGCACAGCGACATGGCCGAAGACGGGAAGCAGGTAATGGGTGCGTTCGATTAGCTTCCCTCTTTACACCAGTGTTACATACAACGGAAGCTTCGAGATGAGGCTAATTGAACGCTGCAGTGTATTCGCCAAAGCATTCTGGGAAAAAGGTCAAGTCCCCTTCACTTTCCATCATGTCCATGCACGAACAGTCCATCCGTGACGTCATCACACTCGAGGAGCCTCCAGAGACCTGCTCGCCAGCCGGGGTACTTTTGGCTGACACCAGGGCAGCAGGCACGAAGATCACGTGATGGTTAAACGAACGCTCTGTGTAAGTTTGGCTGACAAGTGTAAGCTAATCGAACGCACCCAATGCTGTCTGGTCCATCCACGACTGGAAGTCGAAGGAAGGAGGCTCGTAGCGGCCATCAGTATTTTGTTTTGGAGCGCGAAAGCCCGCCATATAGACAACTGCGTCAAAATACGGAGGGCTTTGCATGATAACAAGAACACTTTAATAGAAAGTTTTCGTTTAAGTCTCAACAGACTTCCTAAATTCTGAACATCCGCCCCTACAATTCATTCGGCGCACCTGAAGTTAAGCAAATAAAAGACATCACGAACAAATGATACGTCCTAACAATTATTTTGATCAAACCAATGGCGTTGCAACACGCGCTATTCAAATTTGAATAGTCACAAATCATTCACAGACAGCACTCCATTTACAAAGCTCTTCTCTTTCCATGTTATTTCTTAAACTATCAGATGGTAGCAGTAGACATTTGGAGAAACGGCCAAAAGCTTCACCGAGTGAGTCCAACATTGAGCAGTCGGCAACGAATGACACACTTAATCCCATATATGGCGTGCCCTTTCCCATGGACCAAATTCAAGGGATGACGTTTCCTAGCTTATCTGGCGATGGTGGCACCCCCTGTCGGTCGTGCGGTGACTCGGCCAATGACGTAATGCTGTCGCCTCCACCACCAGAAGTCGAAGGGAAGGAGGCTCGTGGCGGCCATCAGTATTTTGTTTTGGAACAGGAAAGCCCACCGAGTAGACAACCGCGTCAAAATACGGAGGCCCCACATGGAAAAGAGACTATTGCGCTTGAAGGGTTCGCCCCAAGGGACGGACATGGCACCAAAAAGGCAGGAGAGGATCCTGAAACTACGAGGGACGACATGCAGTCACGTGGGCTACAAGGTAACCAGTCAGATGCACATAGCCTTCCAAAAGGGCCCTACTATTTCACACTGGAACCACCATTTGGTAACCAAGACGACGAGACTTCGGAGACAACCTCGCAAGGAGAAAGCAGCGACACCGAGGGGTACAATCACGTCAAACGTCAACGCGCGCACGAGGCACAGAGCCCCAATTACTCTCATTTAACCCCACAGTCCGAATACGATCACATCAACCGATTTGGACACATGCACTCCACATATGGTGATATGAGCCAATTTCACGGCTACAGCATGTACAGCCACTTGAAATCTCACGACGAGAAATAACGTGCGGATGACTAATTATTAATTTGAATACCGTTGTGAATTCGATGCGTTTTGACAACTGCGTGGAAATGGTGACAATAACTGAAGCTGCAGCCGCAATGCGTACACGGCCTGAGAGAATGGCAGGAAAAAAACTCCCAGTTGCGGATTTTTTTATCATATCACGAGTGACCATTCTTGATAACCATTTTGCTATTTGCAAGCACTCCAAGGCCATAACTCGAATTGGTAATTTGTAACTTACACTAACCTGTGTTAAGCATTCCATTTTCTTATGAGTTATTGGTTAATGCAATTTGAATACAGAGTTGGGTTTTATGGAATCAATTTTTACCCATTTATTGCTCAACGCTCCTTTCATCGTGTTTATTAAGTAGGTGTGAACTTAACCATTAAACTTGACGTTAAAGACAGTCATTATCCCGTTTGTAGCATTTTATTATTTTTCGATAGGAAACATTAAACGGCTTTATTGGCCGATTCCATGTTATCCGATAATTGGAGGTCAACCACATATTGCCTGGTCCATCTTCTCTTTTCTGGCGTTGGTAAACACTACTCAGATATGCCTATAATTTCATGTAAAGCTGACCAGTGGTTGAAATGATTTTTTAAATCTTTCAAAGTTTTATAGTGTAATATGGATAAAAACTTCTGCACATATTGTTTTCTGTAATTCCAACATGGCAGTTTCCATTTTTAATGTAAATATTAGTTTGGCGGGTCAACGACTAGGGTATACATTATGCCTCTAGGCCTACGTACAGGTACCATGGGCCGTTAAGCTCATTTGCACAGATTGCATAAAGATAGATACAGGGCAAAGGAAAAAAAAACTTCGGCTATCAAGGATTTGTAACATGTTACTTATCCCCCATCGGGGGATTGGTAGATTGGTAACAGTCCATTGAATGACAATCGTATGGGGTATGTATTGTGAAAGTTAGATGCAAAACATGACGTCATCAACATGGTTACGATAATGACACAAAATAAGGGACATTAATTAAACATCTCGTGATGGTTTTCCCTGTAAAAGTTCCTGTGGTGAATCAGTCAGTCACATTTGCAGTGATGTCAGCGATTAACAAAATGCTATATATCTCTATTTTTTCGACCTCTGCAATGAAAATGTCAAGCAGGTGATGACTTTGAATCATGCGTCGTAATCACCTGCAGTGTGCCGTACACTTTGAACCTATAATGAATGATTTGTGAAATATCATAGTGTAATCATATACAATCACGCAGAAATAAGTAACCGACTGACTAAAGGCAGGGTAGATCTTGTGTAGATCTTGAATAAAATACCGACAAGGTAAGGACAGGTACCAAAGAATATGACTTTATAGAGTTTGGACTTCCTTCTTTCTCTTGTTAGTTTGGTGGGGTGGATGTATGGATGCATGAGTTTGGGGTTACTATATACGGCCATCCTTTCCGTACCATTTCAGATGTTATACTTAATAGCATTTTTTGGCTCAAATGTACTAAGCCTCATCCAGAAATACCACCACGAAACTCCCATGAAATCAGTCCTCTCTGGCAATTTGTGAATTCACAGAATTATTATTATTGGCGACTGGCATTACTGTTTGACGGTTTTCTCCGTTAAAAAAGCTCACAGAACAAAACAAAAAACCAAGTTGATGTATCTGGAGTAAAGCACGGGACATTGATAAGCATGGGTTAACAAACTATAAGTGTACCAGCTCTCTGCGTCGGCGTGCAGTTGTGAGAGTTCGTGAGGTGTTCTCTGGGAGCGATTCGCCTGTGGATGCTTTGATCAAGGATGAATTTTTTTTTACTCCAGATCTAATGCAGGAAATATTTCACTGTCGGGATCGATTACCGGCACTGTTTTTGTATTGAATGGAATTGCATTGTGTCAAAAAATGATAATTTCATTACTTGTTTTTTAAGACCGCAATTAAGTCAACGGGTTGAAAACTCGCTCTGATAAAGACTGGAAAACACTTAGATGACACATAAATTGTTTGTCACAACCCAAAGGAGAATCAAAAGCGCCGCTAATACGTTGATGTCATTATCGTCATTGTAAATATTATGTAGTAATAGCCCTTGACATCTGGAAATGAAGATGGACTGCACCGTGTATTTAGGGCCGTCTTGGATTTTCAAGTGCCTTTTACCGTATTCTGAAATAAATCGTCAGAATTGATACCTAAAAATAAGAAGTGAACGTCGTTCAACATGCCAAAATGCAGGGCACATCCACAGTCGATGCATGCCCTTCCTGTCCATGGCAACGGGTGAAGTCTGTGCCTCGTTGAACTTTGAGACGAAGCAGTTACAAAACCGGAATAAAAAGCGCGCCAGTTCTCGCGAGGAAGTGAAGTTAGTGCGTAATAACCGAGGCTCGGGGAAACCAGTAAATAAGCAGGCCTGCTAGGGCTTGAACTGCCTCTCACTGCCAGCCAAGTTGCACGTTAACCGAAGGCGCGTTTGTGCAACAAATGAACACGACAAGTCTTTTGATGCTGCAATGATCCTTGCACTCACTTCGGGCAGCACTGCGTTAGACTTTCGCCGTCGAAATTTTGAAGTACCTGCGCTCGCAGCGAAGTCCGCAGCAAGTATATGTACACCAAAAGCCATTCGCACTGCAGCAAAGACGTGACTGAATTCCATTTCAGCGGCAGAGTTGAAATGGCCTCAAGGACCATAATCTTTGGTGTGACGGAAGATTGGCAGAAAACCATGCTGAGTGAAGATGGTTAAGACTGCTTGCTGTCGACTCTCTAAAGACTAAACGAACAGGATCATAACAATGGTTTATGATTAAGTGCATTTGTTCAGCGTCCAGAACGAAAAACTCACTATGTGTCGCTTTGAAATGAGTCTGCTCCTATAAACGTTTAAGCAAACGACTTCAGGAGCAATGCCGAATCCATAACATAAAAGGAGCAGGGACTATCGTAAGAACAAAGAACCCAAATGCTCTCAATTTTGATGCCAACATCTGCTTCAGGAACAGACATTCACCGCAGTAAATATGTCATTCACTGACCAACTCACGGGCTCTGGGACCAACCAGATATCAACCAGCGATGCCCCGTTGCCGTGGGTCCTGCCCCCCGGCGAGGTGGCCTTCCGCGTCACGCTTCTCCTCTTGATCTGCATCGTCGGGGTAACGTCCAACGCGCTGAACGGACTGATGCTACTCAAGTCCAAGCGCCCCGGCACCACCATGCATCTCTTGATGTTCAACCTGGTGGTAGTGGACATGACCATGACCCTCGCCTGCATTCCGTTGTCTGTTTTCTTCACAGCAAGCAACGGGGACGTCCATGTCCCAAACGAACTCTGCAAGGCAGCCGGTAAGTGCCTTGGTCACGATGAGTCCGATATGTGAACTAGCTGGGATCATACTGTGCAACAATAAATTACGTGCATTACAATTTCTCTGCGGCAAGCTGCGCCTTCAAAAGTCTATTTGTTGTTAGCCAGACTGCAGATTTGAGCAGCAGCAGCAGATAAATCTGTTGTTAAAATGCCTCGGCTTCCACACTGCAGTGGAATGCAATAAAGATCTTTCGACTTTTATCACTGAAGTATAAATAAACACAACTCCATCCCCTTTTTTCATGACGTAACACAGCAATATTTGCGTGCTTTAATATCATTTCATTCAATTTTTCTTGGGGGTGGTCATTTTCTTCCTTGAGTGGTCAAGAACTCAGGAGCGGGCTTCCATGCTTGACCTCAACAGCCTATCCCAACCGTTGTTGTCCAAACCAAAGATATGACACTGATTTCGATGCACAGTAGCAGTGAATTGTTCGTTAATTAAATGAACCTTTTTCTACTCTGCATAGGAATGCAATACAAATGGTTGTCTCGGGGCTACATATCACCGTCAATATTCCACTTGCTCAAGACGTGAATTTGGTTCGAACTGAACGTTGAGGGTGTATTTTGGTTTCATTTTTCACAGAACAGAAAGCGTGAGAAGCCAAGGCCTTTTAGCGTTGATGTCTAAATCCACAAGCTGGCCTGAATGTCATGATCTTTCATTTAGCGCTGCCGCACGAACACTCTTCCATTTGCGTTTTAACAAGAGGTTGGTTTTTCTTTTGCCAAGCCCCACAGAACCATATCAAAGAGCAAAACAAAAACTTCGAGCTTTGCAGTAACAAGTATTCTCTTAATTCTTACCGTCGAGTTCATTGTTGTTTTTGATTATTTTAACACGTGCACTATATCCCTGTTAAGCAATTCCATCCATATTTGATGGTAAAGTTCAGTTCCATCCCAAAACTTCCTCAGGTACGGGTCTAACTATGCAATCTGGTTTCAGACTTGCATCATTTCGGTAAGTTTGCTGTGTAACTTCCGTTAGCGGCATTTTAATTTGTTTTACTTGGTAGCATTCACGGCAAGATCGGTCTATGAAAGTGGTATCGAAGCAAGAAATTTTCATTTTGTTTTTTAGTTCAATGATTTGGTCATTCAAGTTCTTCGATGGAAGAATTTCGTTTAAAAATTCAACCCTTTAACTATACCGATAATAAGATTTAAAGCTACTTTTAGAACATCTCACATTCAATAAATGCAAGGATGATCTCAAATTGTTAAGTATTTTGCTGTGTCGTTTATTCAAGCGAAACAGCAAAATTACCCAGGAACATCAAAGCATAAAATACTTTTCTTGAAGGTAATTATGCCGTGGCTTTGCTTTCAAACATCATCGTCTTCACCCTTTAATCCAAGTCCTAACTACGTCTTTGAAGAAAGTTATTCTCTTTGCGCTAATTGAGTTGAAATGACAAGTACTTTAAATAAGACGAATTATAAAATAAAGACAATTTGCTTTTTTCAGCAGCACTATTGTCACATTTTCATTCATGGAGAATTACAATTTTGTAATTGTGAATCTCTCACCCAAGCCCAAAATATTGTACGGTGCAAATTTGAAACCAAACCCCACGCTTAAGCCTATACATAGAAATTTAGGGACGAAATTAAGGTACCTTAACTTTCCTTTGAAGGTGAGGATACAAGAGTTAAACTGATGGGAAACACCTTTATTAGCTCTTCCACAAACCATTATTTTCTCGACAATTTCTGGATTTTTCCCATTCTTAAAGGGAAACGTATCTGCCAAAGAAAAACGCACCGGTGCATGAATCTTGCTAGTCAAAGGAAAACCGATCAATCAACAAGCGGAAATTAATATACTAAGGGATCAAGTTAGTTACTGAAAGGCGTCTTTTTCATGCAGTCACAGCATGATCAATCAGACCTGACGTTATGAATTCGGTGCATCTTCTCACTGTCACCACCGTAACCCATCGATAGCAAGGAAATGCACGTCCGGACTACCAACCAGTTCAAGTACATAGTTACTGGAATATCCTCTTTTTCTGTCTTCAGAGTGCGATGCATTTTGTGATTGCACTGGAATTCCGAACAAGCCTGTGTATAATATATGAACGAAAGAAGTAGGTTCGACGAATTCTAGGGTATTTCAGAAAGAGAAAGTTTTATTTGTAGGTTTTCTGTTGCCCAACATTCAAGAAAACGACGGACTGGATGGAGTGCCCTGGACTGGATTGCGTGAGCAGTGCAGAAAACATGAGGTTTGCGATAAGATCGAGAAGTAAAATTACCTCGAGCCTGGGCCAAGCATTCTTTTTCGTATCGAGTCTTCGCAAGTTTGTAAGGTGATGTCTTGATTACGCTGTGTCACCAATATACTGTGAAAAGTAAAACGGACTTGCCAAGACTGCTACTCTAACGCATTGAGGCATGAGATTCATACATGACAGATTATTCTCACACTTTCACGACCATACAGGTTTTTTTACGCAAAGAAAATTAAATAATAGATAAACACTTATTTCTACAAGTAAACACTTATAAGTTACGACCCTAGAGTGAAAACATCGCCGTTCTGTGATCTCGTTCCCGTAAAAACGACTGAGTGCGTTGCAATCTTAGTAGCGGGTATATCATGCTGTGCTGTGTTAGCGTGGAGTGTAATTGGAAGCCATTACTGCTGTTGCACCAAGCTCTTGGACAGGTGGTACGCGCGTGTTACGTACCTCCTTGACCAACCCGGTTCGTAAGTGGAATATCGACGAGAATATAATATCAAATCAGTGCTCTGAAATATGTGATTGCCAAGCTTTCGGTAATATAGTACCTTCTTCAGGGCAAGCAGATTCAGTTTTGAATGAACGCGGAAAAATCCACGTTCATTCCCCTGGATGTAGCGTTCCAAGTTTGAAAATGACGCACTGCTCCAGTTCCTTACGCTGTACACCAGATGACGCTTTCCGCAGGATGCAGACGCTTACGTCACCGAGAGTATGTGGCGGCACGCAAAAGTGCTGCGCAACAGTGAGACCAGGTGTTTGTTGGCGCACACTGCGCAAGTGTTCCGCGAAGCGGTCACCCAGGCGACGCTTGGTCTCTCCGATGTACAGTTTACCACGGCGACGACATGTAATTCAATAAACCACATTGCTAGTAATGCATGTATGATCCCCGCGTATGCTGGAGCTACCGCGGGGGCCGACGACCGACGGGCTGTTATCTATGTAGGGACAGGTGTTACATTTGGGGCGCTGACAAGGGGAGTTACTGCCTGCTTTGACGGCGAGACGGAATCCAAACGGGAACGTACTACCATGTCCCCGACAGAACGATCGCGCCTAAACGCGCAAATCGGGGATTTGGCGAAAATGGAAGCTGTGGCCGCATCATTTCCGAGTGTACGGAAATGTTTAAGAAAAACATTACGTACCGGGATGTTTCGAGGGTGGTATGTGAGTACGAGGGGGACGCAATCACGTTGCTTGGTCCCGGTGGGTTTAAGAGCTGTTTTGCGCGGGATTGAAGATACGGCGTTGAAGGCAGCGTCTGTGATACCGGAGGGTAACTGCGCTGTTGGAAGAACCTCGCATTTCCTTCCCACGAGCAGAGAACTCCCAATCGCTACTACAAATCCTACGCAGTCGAAGAAACCGAGAGTAAGAGATGGCGTTCTTACACTTGAGGGGGTGAGACGATTGGTACTGCAGGTAGCTGTGGGAATCTGTGGGTTTTGTAATGCACGGTTGTGCCAAGTTTCCGCGCACAGATCTGGACGCGCACGTCGAGGAAGGTAACAGAGGGCTGTGACACATCACATGTATAGCGCAGTGCTGGGTGAAAAGCATATGCAAACGGTAAGAAATTCTCAACGTCATCACGCGTACCGGTAATAGCACCAACTATATGGTGTATCGCCGGTACATTAACAGCTGCACACCCTGATACTGGGTCAGCATCTGCTCCTCGATGTGGCCAACAAACAGACAGGCATAACTTGGTCCCATCCGTGTGCCCATTGCCACACCACTGGTCTGAATGTAGGGCTCACTGTTGAACGTGAAGTTGTTCAACGTGAGCACCAACTCAGCCAGAAGTTGCGAGTTAACTTCCGGTTCCATGGTTCCACGTAAACGGCAATCAATGCATGTAATCCTATTTGCAGTGCACGTGTGCATTGGGCGTGGTTTAAACTGAAGTGACGTCACACTTACGAACAGGATGGCCTCGGCAACGGACACTGCTTTGGTCGGAACTTAACTTCGCTGGTTCGCGAACGACCAGGAAATGTACATATGACGGTCGCATCGCTACCAAAAAAAAAAAAAAAGAACACTCCCGACCAACAGGCATTAGAAATGTTTATTGCCAGGCTAAACTCTTATTCAGTTTTTCCAGCCTGGAGTTCCCTTTCAAGAAATGTCAGATTTTGACTCAAGGTTCCACATTATGCGGTATTCATTGGCCTCGAACGGGGAAGTTGTTTCAGGACTGGTGGTGTAAAATATCATTGGTGAAAAAATAAAGCAAAATAAATTTACAGTAGAAAATGAAAAATAAAACCAACAGACTGGTTCTTTACAGTTAAAGATGTCAGAATAAGAAACATACGATATACTTTGTACGGATGACAGACGAAAAACGAGGAAATCAGACGTCTAAAAGACAGATATGTATTGTTTGCATGTAACACACGATCATACAGATTGTAGGCCTACGTTGGTTGAACAGTGCTCAAGTAAGTTATTCAAAAATAAATAACTGACAACATCCAATACACCAGCGTTGTAATGGATCCGAATGAAAGAACAAACTTGAAATGACCAACTTGGCCATTAATTTAAGCAGACACATGAAATGGAAATTTTAATGGCGAGCAGATGCACGCAGTCCTCCATTCAAGTTCTGCACTTTCACTCAGTATTTAGGGCGACAGACTTTGCTAATACAATTAAACTATTTCTCTTTCGGCCTCTTACAACGCTAACTCCGTGACGTGCACGTTCATTGCAAGATGTGAGCGGGTTTTCCTTTAAAAGAAATTGCTGCCACTTCCCATTAGCCCGATCAGTGCACTTCGTGCTTTTCACCGTTCAGGTCTAATTTTAACAAATCAAATCAGTGAGATCCCCATTCATGACAATTATCTGACTCGATAACAAGCTAGCATAGCAGGTAATGTGGGTCCTGATTTGGGAAAACAAAGTTAGACATTCGGTTCAATACTATAGTCATTCCGTATAGCAAGCATTTTGAAGGCATTTCCAGTGTTTTGGCCTTGACTTGATGAGATTGATTGAAACAAAGGTTAGTCATTTTGTGCTCAAACTGACTAATACGGGTATAAAGTTGCGTCTCAATTACTAATAAATCAAGACAGGGCTAATATTTAGTCAACAGTGACTGACTTTGGTTAAATTTGACTAATATTTGACCAATCTTTGACGAAAAAATGTTAATCATCGGCCTTTCTGACTAATTGAAATTAGTCATTGGCCTGTCTGACTAATTTAAATTGGTTATTTTAGTCAGTAAAATGACTATCAGTCAAAATGACTATTTTTGTTTACAAGGTGTGTTCAAACGAGGGGAATGCAATTTACAATTATTTTCAACTAAATATGACTCAGTTCTCTTAAGAAATAAAGGGTATGCCGTAATTCTTGAAACAAAATTTTCAAATCTTTTAAAGGTTGACTGAAAATGTTGATATTCAAAACAGTGCAAAAATAGTAAAGTCAATCATGTTGCTTCCGTTTCCCCTTTCACCGTTGCTTTTACGGGCCAGCCTACATGCTGAGCACGCTGATCGTCGCCTCCTTGCTCACCCAGTCGGCAATCAGCGTGATCCGGACGCTGGCCATCATGCTGCCCGAGGCACTTCAGCGGCGACTACCGCCTGCCACCGCCTACAAAATCATTGCCTTTGTCTGGTTGCAGTCCTCCCTGACAACGCTAATGCCCTTCCTGAGTCACGGTGAGTTCCATATGCATCCGAACATCCAATAAATCAGATGTCAATCTCAAGGAGTCACTGTGTCGGCAGGGAACATTTTTATCAGTTGACAGGCAAAGCTGTCAACTTGCATGTAGTTGCTAATGCAAACAATAATCTGTTAAAGACTTCATTTTCCGTTAGTTACAACAGTGAGACTAATGTACGGGCTCTGAAGTGGGTCACCTGAGCTATTACTCTTCTATTTTTCTTCTTCAGACAATGTTGTGGATGACCTCTTTACCTACGAGCCACGCTTCATGGCCTATGCAATATCTGACGACCATACAGGGAAAGCTCAAAGTATTCTATTTTCTGTCATCGGCTACCTCCTGCCACTTACCATCATCTGCATCAGCTATGTGACCCTTTATGTCTCGCTCCGACGACACCTGAAGAAGAATTTCCTGACACAGGATCGCCAGAGCCGCCACATGTACACAGTTCAGATGAAGGTGCAGGTCAAAGTGGGCTTTCTGGTCGTCTTCGTAGTCTCCAGCACCATTCTCATCTGGGTCCCGCTCTACATAGTGTCGTCACTCTCCCTGATTGACCTGGCCGAGTTCCAGTCGCTGAGCCGCAACGCCTCGGCGGTGCTAACATTCGGCACCTCCTCGCTCAACCCCGTCATGTACGGGTTTATGAACACATCGCTCCGGCAGGAGTTCAAGGTGTATCTGGCAGCCAAACACCCCAAGCTTCTCGCGCTGCTTGGCAAGATGACATGCTGTCGGTGCTGTTGCAAAAGGAAATCCAAGGTGGACGCGGTCATCGTGATTCCGAGGGAGCAGGTCCAGAAGTCTCACGGGCAAGGTAACAGGGATGTTGATGAGCCGGTTGCTATCTCCAGCCATTTAGTGCTACAGATTAACCACGAAATTAGCTTGAAACGGCAGTCGGTTTTTTCCATCAAACACCCAACAGACCTAACGGAGACCAGCAATGTTAAGCACCAACACAGGGACGTAATGACAGGGGCCAGAGGTGTCACTCCTCCGCTACTCAAGAGATGCTCCTGGTCCCAATCCCTGGCCCATAACGCAAGGCGGTTCAGTGACAAGGTATCGAGGCGCCGTAGCGGTTCAGACAGTACCACTGACTGTCGGAGACAGCTACCCCTGCTGGACCTACAAGCTGTCTCCCGACTCAGAGAAGAAAGTCGTGGACTGAATAATCACGACACGCGGTATCCACCCAAGATACACAGAGACTCCGATCTAGAAAGTTTATGTGCACAGGCGACCAATGACCCTAAAGCCAAATACCACATGCGCACCTTGTCAGGACAGCCGCTAACCCCCCAAAAGAAACAGTCCTTCCCGGGCCGTAAAGACGGATCTGTGGTCGCTGTGTCGCGGTGCCTCAAGAAGCAGCCGGTGATCGGGGACATTGTGAAGGTCCGGCGGGTGTTCATCGAGGAAGTCACGCTGGTTTCTGGCAGCTATCCAGACTCAGTTGTCGACGACGGGGATCAGGGTGTTGGACACCCGCAAAAATCGCTGTCGTTGCGCAGGGAATCCGTGTCTTCGGCCGATTCTCAGCTTGTCACTTCCACGACGGTGAAAACAAGCGGGGATGTCTACACTACGACGACGGTACAATTACCAGGATGCATATAAAAAATTATAGGCACATACCAGAGGTATAGTTTCGAGACAGGATCACCTATAGAACATCTCATAGAACACGTCTCCCGTAACATGGCCTATACGCTTCACACAGATGCTTTTATAAAGCAAACAAAATCACTACGAAGCCGAGGGAAATCAGCAAAAAAACAAGTGACAATTGAACGTGTTTTCTTAAAAACACAGACTAATCCTAGATAACAATTCAGGAATGCCGGGTGGGGGAAATGGGGCCCTCAAATTATGATAATTCTTACAATCGTCATTCTCGGTATTGGACGTTGGTCGTTTGATTGTTTTATTTGCTTGTCAGTTCTCATTCAACTACATGTACTGCTTTAAAGAAAAAGTCTTCATTGTCACAATTCTGATTGTATTTTGTGTCACGAAAATGTCTGAAAAAGTAAAGTTTCTGTTACTCTGAAAACAAACTGACAGCATTGGGTGTAGTTAAAGCAAATCTATTCGTTGCATGTATCTCTTCTCTTTATCATCTGCTGAAAGTATTTTCGTCAGTAAAAAGTCTTTTGCAAATACGTCATCATGCCATGAGGGAAAGTGCAACGATGTCAAACGTGCCAATGCATAACGCACCCCATTCTACCACGTGTAAAGGAGGTTTTGACTGCCATGAAATGGATGCTAATGACGTTACGTTGGTTATTCAGAGTGCACGAGCGGCTCCGTTTGACTTCGGCGAGATAAATCCCCAAGGGTGCAGATCACTAATTCAGGTGAGAATTTCTGGCCAGCTCATTAGCATTAAAAGCGCCCCCACAGTATCTTTTGAAAAAAGAGACTGTTTGGCCCACAAAATGGTGGGATTGTGTAAATCGTTGCCAGGATCGACTCCCTGGGTCTTTCAGCTTTCAAGACAGCAAAATGGCTAAAATCTACGGTTGAAAAATGGTCCTAAGTGCCCGGGAAAGTTGAGGGTTGCCACTTGAAAAATGGCTGCAATCGGACTTCGGAAAAATCACTTTTCGGGGGTGATTTTGTTTTGTGGGAAAAATTAAAAATGTAATCGGTTAACCCATAAAAAAATTGAAAAAAAAATTAAAAGATTAGGGACCAGGCAATAATTTCATTTGTGTTTCTGAATCTCAGGGATGTTGGTATGCATGTTATTGGGCCCTGAACAGTGCTGATTTTACACTATTTTCAATGTGGCTTGAATTAGTGGACTGTTCCCCCCAGACGTGACAGAGAAATCAAGGTATTTGGACGCCGAAATGCGGATTCGTAATATTTGAGGGAAAAAAACTTGATGAAGACTGGTTGTCAATCCCAACCGCGAAAGCCCGAGCGCCAAAACTGTCTGTTTACAGTCTGCACGCCAGCAGCCACTCGAAAAATATGAGCGCACGTAATAACGGCAAAATGGCCCCACAAAACAAAGACGGACACATTGAACTCTATGTTGCTATAGAACCATGAAGTCAGCGAATACTGACGATAAACGTTGGGACCAATTTTGTTTTTAACTTCAAAACTCTGTCAAACTCACAATGCTTTGTTGCGAACTCTCCATCAAAACAAGTATGTATGTAACTCTGTAAATTGATTCTCTTGTCCATTATAGAGAATGGTCAACTGTAGTAAAATATCTTTCGCAGGGACGTGACAATTAACAGGAAGAATATACCGGCTGGGTCAGAGATATTCATGTCCCATAAATATGTATAACATTATACCGGAATATAATTTATACAGAACTTTATACATTGTACCTTTGAGTCATTGAACTTATATTACTCCATAACTTAATATTAATTTTGATCTCCATGAACATTATTATGAAAGTTGCGATGACAGGAAGTCGTACCTCGCATTACAACGTGCGAGGGGGAGGGATCAAAGGGGGATAAGCCTTCTGCAATGCACCTGCAGCCAATGGCAAGTTTGATCGGCGACAATTAGTTAACCACCGGCCAATTTTCCCTGATTCCCGATAAATATTTAATGCTTAGGTTACTAGTCAAAATTGACTGTTGGTTGACTGTTTGTGGCTGATCGAACTTGCCCCAAGCCACACTCATACACCATCTTGAAGCAGAAAACCGCATCCCTCATCAAGCTTGTCATTTCTACAAGTTTCTTAATATAGGTGCATCTTGTGCTGAAATTAACAATATGGGGAATCAACTTCTAATAACCTGAATCATGGTTCATGTCTGGCAGCCGTCAAACTGCCAATCACTCCCAACCATGCCTATTAAGTTGTGATCATAATTAAAACAAAAACCCATCCTTACCTGAAACTGTCCACGACCAATTCCAATCGTCAGGAAGGAACTTTTTCCATTGTTAAACCCTTGCTCTGTTGTTGAACCGACAAACTGAAAGTCCGAGGTCTAGGGATAGATAACATAATCCATGGCGCATTCAGAGCGCATACAAGTTGAAACTGAACACTGTGAATTCCTTACCGCTCAGTCATTCCACTTCTCACGGCTTGGAATACCTGACACGTACAGAACTGGACAGGAATGTGCCTCCACAGAGTTTCATCTGATAATGGTTGATCGTGCCTTTTGTCCAAGACAGTGTTGACTTAGCGAAAAACTATTGAGAGTTAATTAATTGGCCAATGTGTTATGGCCAGATCGCTCCATTAGCGGTCACATTATCTGCTCGGTGCTGGACGGCATCTGGACTAATACTCTACCCTCTAGTATAGTTAATATGTTTGTACCTCTTTCAGCTGATAGATTGCGACTGCTACTGTATTCTTTGCACGTCGTTCGAGTAGGCCGACGCAAGTCGTGATCTCCTCGACGACCGGTTTTTCCGACAGTGTTGCCACAAAATTCAATCCATGTGCCAAAATAAACGCCGATTTGACCTTGGGGTGTCCTTGACAAGGAAGTGTCCATCACAACTTCTTCACCTGTCTTTCACATGGTTCCTGAATCGATGGCATTTTCCAATCATGGTCCGATATTCACGAGGAGAGTGAGCAGTTGCTTGATATGATGTCTGCACTCACGCTCTTGCACAGTTCGTGTGTTTGCACAATGCGCTCTCATGCAGACGTATAGCCTGACAAAGCTAGCCTTCACATACAGCGGCACTGCGCAGTAATAATACAATGTTTTGTTTACGAAATTCACATACTTTAGTTCCAACCCAGGCCCACAGTGTAATTCGACACGAAGAATGCAATTACCGTGGTGGCACTCCACGGCCACAACGCATGTGGCAGGTGGTACGCGCGCGCTACAAGCCTCTTCGACCAAGTTGGTGTCACGGCCACAACGCATGTGGACAGGTGGTACGCGCGCGCTACAAGCCTCTTCGACCAATTTGGTGTCACGATTGTATAGTGTAATATTTATGACACACATTTCTCTCTCTCTCTTTAGCCTCCCTTCAGGCGAAGCAGCCAGAGCACGATGGCTCCCTTGCGTCGTGCCGCCGGTCGAACAGTCGCCTTCTTGCCATTTCGTTTGTACACACACGATGCGTCGCGTTGTGCCGTCGCCTGTCGCGTCGTGATGTCGTGTCTTGCGTCGCGTCGCCTGAAGCACGGCACGACACGACGCACGACGCGACGCGTCGTGTTCTGTCGCCCTTCACTTCATGGTGTTTATAGAGGGCGCCTTTACTGTTTTCTTTCATTTTCGTCCACCTTTCTTGCAAAGTACATGCAATTCGCTCTTTAGTGTTGATTTTTATCTCATCGATTCACTAATTGGGAGTAATTTCAGTCATATTTTATTGAAAAAAAATGATAAAAGAGCAAAAGAAAATCCGAATAAATAAGAACTGCTCTGCCAAAATAAGTGGAAACCGCAAGCTCAGAATTCGTCACTCCTTATTTCCCAGCCAATGATTTCTTTTGTTTTCTCTCATTTCCGTCCAACGCGCATGCAAACACATGCCCTGAGCCGCAGGCGTTGATTTTCTTGGGGGGGGGGTTGTTTCATCTGTTTATCAAATTGAATTAGTTTTGTCGTATTTTATAAAAAAAAAAAGTGAAAACGAGCAAAAAGGAAATCTGCGAATGTTGGTGCTCTCATATAATAAATGTAAGCCCATAATTCGTCACTTTTTAATTTACCCGGCTGATCCCCGTTCGAATGTCCGTCCAATTTCTTTTTAGAACCGTTGATGAAGTTCCGATTTGTGGTAGATTTGTAACCTTATAAATATGTCTCTGTGGTCCATGCCAGCAGTTTCCAAGTAGTTCTCCCACTCCTCCAGACAATTTATCTACAATTGTACGACTGCAAGTTTGACCACCGGTTTAGGTAGTTACCATCCAGCCTGCATTATATTATTACCCTCGTTAATTTCATCAGCAACACACTTTCAATGATATTAGTCCGCCGGCGTGTTTCTTAATAAAACACTGTATATCCTACTACCATTGTGACGGTGTCTTTACTTCCTCTCTGTTTGGCCTCGCGCTTAATTTCTCATCAGATCCGCATGTTACGTTTTTGCAAGCACGTAATAATGAT